AGCCTCATTAAATAGGGCTCATTCACTAGGGAATGAATGCAACTCATGAATGAATGAGTTGCATTCATTCCCTCTGGGCCAGGCAGAAGGAGCAAGAGAGGGGAGGAGTAGGTACAGGAAGGGGACGGTAGAGGTACTCTTACCTCCATCTCTTACTTTTGGAATAAGGTTTCATATGTATCTGTGTTTTGTTTTCAGAAGACTCTTGCATTTGTCATTGTACCATCAAAGTGTGTCTGTCACCTTTTATAGATCAAGAATCTACCCTCCCCAGGTCATGTAGTGGGGAAATAGCAACTCAAATTAAAGTTTTCCGAGTCCTAGCCTTTTACTCTTTTCATTAGTTCAGCATGGATTAGGGGACCCAGTGCATTCATTTTGTTCAGTTCAACATATGAAAGTTGGATTTAGGGTATGAGTATTCTGCAATAGGGTTACTTGGGGCTCCGGTGAGTACTTGGACCTGTGCCAGTAGTGTCTTGCCAGCTGTGTGCATGGTGTCAAACATGTCAGAGGTGCAGCAAACCTACGAGGGCCCTTTCCTTGCTGTCTACTTGGCCAGTGGGACCCACGTTCTCTCCAGGCTTCCTCACTGGGCTGGGCTGAGCTACTTGGAAGGTTACTGGAGGAATGGCTCCATGTCAAAGCTTCAGGGTGTCCCAAGAACTCTGGTCCTTGGAAACAGACTCACATGCAGAAGGCTCTTTAACATTTCGTTTGTTCTTTGCTCTGGCTCTGGGCATGTGTTTATAGGTATCTCATAAACAGCTATTTCTTTTTCAGAATTGCACTATGTTAGCTGTAGTAAAAACACTGAAGGCCAAGGACCACTAGCATCTTCATTTCCAAGTTCATAGACAGGGTGGACTATGTGACCCCATTGACATTTTGTGTGTTGTCCTTTGGCCCAAACATTGACTTCTGATGTTCTCTTCCATTCACATGTGACCCACGCCGTGGTCTCATTCTAAGAGAAGGTCATTGCTGGGGAAGGTGCCTGGTGCAATGGGGGTGCTCAATCCATGGGTGTAGATTGAGTTTAGCTTTTCAATTCTCTTTACATTTTCTTGGTTTTATTTGGAATATACTCACATGGCATGGACAGAAGTAAAAGTTAATATGACCTACCCTTTTAAAAGACATAAATGATTAAAAAATTAATAGAATAAAATGCAGCTTGTTTAGAAGGATGTGCCAAAAAAAGATGGCAGTATCAATGCAGAAAAATGCCCCCTTTTTTCCCTTTGATGAAAGGACTAGTGTAGATTTTGGAAGAGTGGGAAGAAAAAGGAATCTAGGTTTCCATTTCCTTTTGTGAAATTGACTTTAAAAATTGACTTTTAATTGGGTTTTACCCAATTAAAAACTGGCTTGGATTTGTTATACTTGTGTTACTTTTCTGAGCAAAGCAAGGACTTGTCAAAGACACTGATGCACATGTGTGCATTCAGATGTGTCAGTCTGGAATATACCCAGTTTTGAGAGTGCTCTTCAAGTGAGCTTGAGAGCAAGAAATGGAGAAAGGTAAGAGGTTAACGGCGTTGAAAAGGCTGTGCAGGTATCACTTGGAGAGAAGTGGACCAATGCAGTTTTTCTTTTAAGCTTCCAGTAAATATCTTGGACCTTTGATAGCTTTGTCTTTCTTTCTCATCTTACTAACACCAAGAGGCACAAGGTGGCCAAATACAGTCTATAGTGTCCTCGGCACAGTGATTTGAATTGGCAGTAGCAGGGGCCTAACCTCTTCTTGAGGAAGAGAATCAAAGTAATGGCTTCTTCCACCTTGTATCCAAATGCCTTCTGTATCCACAGATGTCCCTGATTTGAGACCCTGTGTGCCCTTGGCATGCTATTGACAAAATCCCTTACCAAAGCATATGGTGTTCTTTAATAAGGGTGACCAATAAAATATGTAAATTCAAAGATCACCCAGTCCCTCCTTCCTCCCACTTTATGAAAAAAAAAAAAATTAAATACTAATTTTTGAGGCAAAGTGGAGAGTCTGCCCCATAAAAGCTGGATAATGTTGCCTAAACTCTGAGCCTCTGGATTCCCTATTTGCCACATGAGGTTATAAGATCTTAGGATTGTTGGAGAATTATAGGACACAATTCATTCATTCAGTGATACCTACTAGTGTCCAGGCACTGCACACATTGCTGGGGATTGAAGGGTGAAAAGTAGTGTACAAGCCCCTTGGTACGTGGCCTTTGCCTTGATAGTATCCTTTGAAGCATAGCGTTTTTAATTTTGATGAAGTCAGTTATCTATTTTTCTTATATTCATTGTGATTTTGGTATCATATCTAAAAAGGTATTACCTAATCCAAGTTCAGGAAAATTTAAAAGTTTTCTTATGAAAGTTTATGGTTTTGGGTCTTTGATCCATTTTAAGTTAAACTTTAAAAAAAAACTTTTTAAAAAGTATATTTTTATTGATTTCAGAGAGGAAGGAAAAGGGAGAGAGAGATAGAAATATCCATGTTGAGAGAGAATCATGGATCGGCTGCCTCCTGCAAGTGCCCCACTGGGGATCGAGCCCAGAACCCCGGCACATGCCCTGGACCAGAATCGAACCTGGGACCTTTCAGCTCTCAGGCCAATGCTCTATCTACTGTGCCAAACCGGTGAGGGCTTAAGTTAAATTTTTTGTATACGATGTGAGGTAGACATCCAGTTTAATTCTTTTACACATGGCTATCCAATTGTCTCAAAACCATTTGTTGAAAAGATTGGATGTCTTGACATTCGTTTAGAAAATCAGTTGACCATTATGGACTCATTTCTGGATTCTAATTTTGTTGCCTTGATCTACCTGACTGTTCTATGCCAGTACAACCCTTCTTGGTACTATAATTTTGTAGCAAGTTTTGAAATAATGAATTATCTATCTTCTAAATTTGTTCTTCTTTTTCAAGATCATTTGGCTATTCTGGGTCCTTTGCATTTCCATATGAATTTTAGAATTAACTTATAAATTTCTAAAAAAAAAAAAAAAAAGGGGATTGTGCTGAATCTATAGATTAATTTGGAGGAGTCTTAACCATTATAACAATAGTAAACTTTCCAATCTATGAACATGGAATGTCTTTTCATTTATTTATGCCTTATTTAATTTCTTTCAATAGTATTTTGTAGTTTTCATTTGTAAAAACTTGCAGCACTTAAAAAAAAAATTTATTCCTACCCTAACTGGTTTGGCTTAGTGGATAGGGTGTTGGCCTGAAGGGTCTCAGGTTTTGATCTGGTCCAGGGAGGTGTTCCTTTCTCTGTCTTTGGAAAGCCCCACAGAAAGAAACCTTTGCTTTGAGGATGTGTGTGGCTCTTAGGATTAGAGTTTGTGGAATGAACCTCGTAATGAGCTTTCACACTGGCCTGGAGTGAATAAAAAGCAAAGAGGACAGGCAAGGAGAGATTTTTATGGCTGACAACAGTGTTCTTGAGAGAAATGACTGCAGGACGATTGGGAAATAGATTGCATGCCCAAGGATTATGAGACCAACATGAAGGCAGACTCCAGCTTTCTAGCGCTGGGGCTTTTCAGGAGAGCCAAGGAGATGAAAAGCAATCCGCCAGAAGACAGCATCCATTAAAGTCTTAGTGCCGGCTTAGCTCATGCCAGCTCCTTGGAGCCTCTCTCCTATACTTGCCATGAGCTTAAGCCTGCTTTCAGAGAGATGAAGTTCCATAAATATTTGCACCAAGCCATTAGCTCTGATTTAGGTTCTCCAAAGAAGATATCTAACTAAAAATAGAAATCAGAGGTGGGGAAAATATCATGTCTTTTGAAGAGGTTAGCAAATCTCTTCAGTGGTGTGTCAAGCCATGTTGTGGTCTCTGGTTTCATGGAGCACATAGATGGTGTCCTGGGAGGAATGCCGTGGCTTCCTGCAGGGGTGGAGGACGGAAGGCCATGTCCTCTGGTGTGTACTTTTCTGAGTGAAAAGCACTTGTCTTCCCAACAGCCTTGGCTTTCTGTAAACATAGGGGGTAAAAGAATTCTTTTCTGGGCCGGCTATTATTGCTCAGTGGTTGAGCATCGACATATGGACCAGGAAGTCACAGTTCAATACCCAGTAAGGCCATATGCCCAGGTTGTGAGATCAATCACCAGTGTGGGGCGTACAGGAGGCAGCCGATCAATGATTCTCTCTCATCGTTGATGTTTCTCTCTCTTCCTCACCCTTTCTCACTCAAGTCAATAAAAAAAAAATTATTAAAAAAAGAAGGAAATTCCTTTTTAGTAGTTTCCTCCTCTGATGGTGTCACCATCCACTCACTTATGCAGAGTAGAAAGCACACCCTTTCAGCTTCCTTGTCTCTTCTTTCCAGTCAATCACCAAGAACTGTTATCCTTTAAATGTTATAAACTTCGCTTTAATTTGTCACTTCCTCTTTTACACAGCACTGCTGTCTGAGTTTGGGTCCTCTCACTTCCTCCCTATTCACTTGCAGTCCTATCTCCTTGGCCCTAGCCTGTCCCCCCACAATCTTCTACCCTGAGATGGTGGGGTCTTTCTAAGTCACAGTCACAAATACAACCATGTCTACTCATTGGTTAAGATTGTTTGGTGGTCTTGCCTACTAATCTTCAGAGGGTTATATAGCATCATTTCCTTCAATCTCGTTTTGTTACTGCTTTGATCAGATGCCATGGGAACTTAACTCTTGCTTCTATCAATTTAGCCTCTGGTGAAATTGGTTTTGTTACATGTTGTTTCACTTCATGTTACAGAACCTATCAACAACATTAAGTGAGGACTTACCTATGCACAGAGTGGCTTTTGCATACACATTGGTGCCCATGTCCAGAATTTCCTTTTCTTCTGTTGCTTAGCTCATATGACAATCTCCTGTTTCTGTTTTATCTGTGCTCAAAATCTATTATTTTCTCTCTGAGAAATGGGTCTGGTTCATCCTGGTTAGTGTCAAGACTTAAAACAGGCTGTGTATACTGGGCCATTGACTTGGGTGCCATAGACTGGGAGACCGTCTGTGAGTGGCCAGAGGAAGTAGGAGAGTGTTTGTGACAGGAAACCGATAGTGCAATTAACCTAAAAAGGTTTCTTCCCCTGGGAGTCACCTGAAACACCATCCCATGACGTGTAACGATACCTTTAAGACGCAGGGCGCTTAAGGACAGGGAGGTAATGGTATCCTCTTGATTGTCCACTCCAAGCACAGGGATCAGGGCTTTCTCTTAAAGGAGTGAGTCACTGGAACAGAAGGGGAAGCCTACCTCTTTGGTGAGCGCGGAGCTGAGCCCCTGGTGGCCTGTGGGTTGGAGGCAAGGTGCAGAGCAGAGGAGGGCGAGCTGTTTCTAAGGGTGCATGGCAGAGCCTGGGGGACCAGGAGCAATGAGCTACAAGCTGGACGGCACCAGCCTATCCCATCGGCACTGAGCATTCCCAAACATGGCGCCTCAACTGGAGATGCTTGTGTCATGTAAGTGATCTAAAATGCATTGCTTTTTTGGGGGAGGGTGGAAGGCGCATTTTTAAAATAGAGAAATAAGAAATAAAAATGGCTGTCTTTTCTTTTTCCTAGAATATGGATTTATGAACCCCAGGCTTTGGGCCTTTAAGGTGGCCCGTCCAGGAGAGGGCAGGTGATAAACAGGCTTGGCCGGGTGTGAGGAGCAGCGCTAACGTCGTCTTGTGCTCCTTCCAGGTGCAGCGTGACCTGCCTCGTCTCCCTGCCCGGCAAGCTCTCCGCCCCCTGCATCCACCATGGTGTTTGGTGAGTTCTTCCATCGCCCTGGACCAGACGAGGAACTTGTCAACTTGAACGTGGGGGGCTTCAAGCAGTCCGTGGACCAGAGCACCCTCCGGCGCTTCCCACACACCAGACTCGGGAAGCTGCTCACCTGCCACTCGGAAGAGGCCATCCTGGAGCTGTGCGATGACTACAGCGTGGCCGACAAAGAGTACTACTTCGACCGGAACCCCTCCTTGTTCCAGTATGTGCTGAATTTCTACTACACGGGGAAGCTGCACGTCATGGAGGAGCTTTGCGTGTTCTCCTTCTGCCAGGAGATCGAGTACTGGGGCATCAACGAGCTCTTCATCGACTCCTGCTGCAGCAATCGTTATCAGGAGCGCAAGGAGGAGACCCACGAGAAGGACTGGGACCAGAAGAGCAATGACGTGAGCACCGACTCGTCCTTCGAAGAGTCGTCTCTGTTCGAGAAGGAGCTGGAGAAGTTTGACAAGCTGCGACTGGGCCAGCTCCGGAAGAAGATCTGGATCCGCATGGAAAACCCAGCCTCCTGCCTGTCCGCCAAGCTAATCGCCATCTCTTCCCTGAGCGTGGTGCTGGCCTCCATCGTCGCCATGTGTATCCACAGCATGTCCGAGTTCCAGAACGAGGACGGGGAGGTGGACGACCCGGTGCTGGAAGGGGTGGAGATCGCCTGCATCGCTTGGTTCACCAGCGAGCTCGCCATCCGGCTCATGGCTGCTCCCTGTCAGAAGAAATTCTGGAAACACCCTCTGAACATTATCGATTTCGTGTCCATCATTCCCTTCTATGCCACATTGGCCGTAGACACCAAGGAGGAAGAGAGCGAGGACATCGAGAACATGGGCAAGGTGGTCCAGATCCTCAGGCTGATGAGGATTTTCCGAATCCTCAAACTTGCCCGGCACTCCGTAGGCCTTCGGTCTCTGGGTGCCACGCTGAGGCACAGCTATCACGAGGTTGGGCTGCTGCTGCTCTTCCTCTCCGTGGGCATCTCCATCTTCTCTGTGCTCATCTACTCGGTGGAGAAAGACGACGACACGTCCAGCCTCAGCAGCATCCCCATCTGCTGGTGGTGGGCCACCATCAGCATGACGACTGTGGGCTACGGAGACACCCACCCGGTCACCGTGCTCGGGAAGCTGATCGCCAGCACCTGCATCATCTGCGGCATCTTGGTGGTGGCCCTGCCCATCACCATCATCTTCAACAAGTTCTCCAAGTACTACCAGAAGCAAAAGGACATTGACGTGGACCCGTGCAGCGAGGACCCGCAGGAGAAGGGGCGTGAGCTCCCTTACTTTAACATCAGGGACATCTATGCCCAGCGGATGCATGCCTTCATCAGCAGTCTCTCTCCTGTGGGAATTGTGGTGGCGGATCCTGACTCCACAGATGCCTCAAGCATTGAAGATGAGGAGGATGTGTATAACATGGCGTCCTTGGAGAACTGCACAGCCAAATGAGCAGGGGCGTCTGTGCCTGGCTCTGGTGTCCCTTCGTGACGATAGGTTAACACAGCTTTATCAACCTCAGTGGGTTCGTTAAAATCATTTACTTCTCAGGGCGTACCTTTCAGCCATAAGTTGGACCTTCATTGCTCCGAAGTGATAGAATCGTCTTTATTTTTCTCGGTGAAGTGAATTAAATGCCTTGTTCTGAAATTTATTTTTACAAGAGGGAGATGTGATATGCTTTTGGAAAAAAAAAAAAAGATAAGTGGGATTGGGTGGGATTTGTTGCTACGGCTTATGTATCATGCTGTGTTTGTCATTTACTCACATTGAGCTATCAATTACTGACAAGTAGAATCCAAGGCCCAGCTAACTGAAGGCAACATGCATGTAAGATCCACAACATGAGACAGTGCATGTAAATCCATGTTCACATTCTAGACATGGACATTAGGAGCCTAATAAACTGCCTAATTCAGTACGGAGAATGTCTTGGTTGTATGTTTATATGTCAAATAAGTACATTCCCATATGCTCAAAAGTGAAAATCCTCTCTTTGGAGCCCTGAGAGTCCTGTCTGTTTGTTTTTGAGTTTTGGACATACTGGAATTGCTATCAGTGCCCTGGAAATGGGCCAGTTTTTTTTAAATGTATTTTTATTGATTTCAGAGAGAGAGGTTAGAGGGGGAGAGAGATATATAAACATCAATGATGAGAGAGAATCATTGATCAGCTGCTTCCTGTATACCCCACACTGGGGATTGATCCCAAAATCCAGGTATGTGCCCTGATTGAGAATCAAACCTTGACCTCCTGGTTCATAGGTTGACTCTCAACCACTGTGTCATACCGGTTAGATGGGCTAGTTATATTTTGGTTCAAGGGGTTTTGCTTGGTGGTGGTCAGCTGGTGTCTCTGATAAAACACACTGGCCAGTGTAAACTGACTAAACATGACCATGTTTAGGACATAGTCAAATTAGCATCTATGAATGAAACATGGGCCCCTACAGATATGTTTCCAGTATATTCTGCTAAGATAAAACCTTGTCACCTGAAAATTATGCAGAGCAGAGTAAACCTCCACACTCACAGGCAGAGATGCATTCAGTCTCTGGAAGAAAGAAATCACAAACACACACATGTGATTCTCTACACCCAGAGGAGTGAAACTTAAATCACTGGGAAAAGCTATGCTGGTACCTACTGAATGAGCCAACGTTTAAAAATAGCTTTTGAGACAGTTATGTCTGCATCTTATGTAAAAACTCCTCATAACAAAAGAAGACATACAGACTCATTTCCAGGGCAGTGATAGCAATTCCATCCATGCGGAGAGAATACAGCTGAAGCCTCATTGTCGGAGCTGTACTTTGACCCTAACTCATGCTGTCAGGCTGAATTCTTTGCCCAAGATCTTTGGAATGGGAGAGCCATGTGGATTTCTTATTCACCTTTTTATGTTTGCAGATGCGTTTCATTGAAAGGACATTGTCTGTAGTTATCTGATGAAGGTTTCTGACTCATCACTCCTCTTAATGTTTCTGAGACTTCTGAGGTGGATATAACTGAACAGGGTTTATTGTCACTTTTGAATCTGGAGGCTTAGTGCCTGAGTGTCATCCTTTTGCCCATTAAAAGAAACATTTCTTTCCCCACGAATGCCTTCGATATTGGCAGAAATATAGTTTTGAAGCATAGCAATGGAATTGGGATCTGTTTTTATTGAAGACTACAGTTAGTAGTGTAGGCTGCTTACGTAGTAATAGTAATAGTAATGGGAATAATAAATAATAAAATAGTGCCCTCGCTGGTTTGGCTCAGTGGATAGAACAATGGCCTGCGACTGAAGGGTCCCCTGTTCGATTCTGGTCAAGGGCACATGCCTAAGATGTGGGCTTGATTCCCAGTAGGGAATATATAGGAGGCAGCCAGTCAATGATTATTTCTCATCATTTCTCTCTCTCTCTGCCTCTCCCATCTCCTCTGAAATTAATAAAAAAATATAAAAAAGAATAAAGTAATAATAACAGCAAGAGCAATAATAGTGAAATACGATGTAAGCATTTTACCTCTATAATCTCATTTATTCCTTGCACTGTTCCCAGGACCAAGGGGTTATTATTGTCTCCATTTTAAGATCAGGAAACCGAGGTTCACAGGAAGAGGGGCTTGCTTATGGTCCCACAGTGATGGATGGAATTGGGCTGAGACCTGGAGTGATTCCAGAGCCCAGGCCTTGGCCACAGCATCCGGCTCTGCTGTGCTCGGGGTGGGTTTAAGGGCATTTCAAGACAGAGATCATCTGAAGACAAAGTGCAACAAATTGACTTTTCCAGTATGCAAATCCAAAGGGGGAAATGCTGGCTTAGGTACCTTTGCTGTCCTGACCCACAACACAGCCTGGTTTGTTTAAGCAGGGTTTTCTAGGATGTTCTGGACAATTAGAGCAGACTCTGGTCCTTCCTTGGCACAGCAGCAGATGCAGTGGGAGAGCTAGAGCTGTAGTTCTATAAGAATCTAGGAATCTGGTGGGTTCTGAAGGCAAGCTTCCAAGCCTAGACCTTTCGACTGTGGGCGGTTGTGGTTGGAGCATATAGTTGTGGTATCAAGTATTGATTCCTGGAGGTGGCTTGCCACAGCACTCAGCAGTGTGTGGAGTAATGTCTTCCTTCTGGGTTTGGCCACCTGGAAATCCCTCATAGAACTTTCTCACCTCAGTTCCCACTGCAATCTCATGTTAGAGTCTCAACAGTGACATCAGGGCTCTAAGGATAAAAAGCTGCAGAGTGTTCTTGTGTTATGCCTCTCTTGCTTTCCTACAATCCATGCAGCTCGCCTATTTTCTTTTAAAAAATATTTATTGTTAAGATGATTATAAATATCTGTCTTCCCTCCCCCATTGCCCCTCTCCACCCAGTTCCCGCCCTGCCCCAGGCTGTCCCCACCCTGTTGTCTGTCCATAGGTAATGCATACATGATTAATCTCTTCCTGCCCTCCACCTCCCTCCCTCTGAGAATCCTCTGTCTGTTCCATTTCCTTGCCTCTGATTCTATTTTATTCACCAGTTTATTCTGTTTATTATATTTCTTATTCATTTACTTTTAGATTCAATTTTTGATAAGTATGTGTTTTCATTTTGTTGTTCATATTTTTTATCTTTTTCTTTTTCTTCTCCCTCTTCTTAAAGAACGCCCTTCAACATTTCATTTAATACTGGTTTCATGGTGATGAACTCCTTTAGATTTTTCTTGTCTGTGAAAATCTTTATCTGACCTTCAATTCTAAATGATAGCTTTGCTGGGTAAAATAATCTTGGTTGTAGGTCCTTGCTATTCATCACTTTGAATATTTCTTGCCACTTCCTTCTGGCCTGCATAGTTTCTGTTGAGAAATCAGCTAACAGTCTTATAGGCATTCCCTTGTAGGTAACTAACTGCTTTTCTCTTGCTGCTTTTAAGATTCTCTCTTTATCTTTAGCCCTTGGCATTTTAATGATGATGTGTCTTGGTGTGGTCCTCTTTGGGTTCCTTTTGCTTGGCACTTTCTGTGTGCTTTCTTCTTTACTTCTCTAGTGGTAGGACTTCCATTCAGCCAGCTTTCCATCAGTTCTGGATGATGGTTATTCTGTATTTTAGTTGTAATTTTGATGTGGTTGTGGGAGGCAGTGAGTATAGGCTTTTACCTATGCTGCCATCTCAGGATTATCTGGTCAGTTTTCATTCTCACTAGATAAGATGGTGGGTTTCTTCCTACAAGTATTAGTTTCCTTGGGCTGCTGTGACAAGTTATCTGAAACATGGTAGCTTAAAATAACAGAAATTTACCCCCTCATAGTTCTGGAGGACAGAAGTTTGAATGGAGTCTCAGGGACTAAAAATAAGAGGTTGAAAAGCTAGTTCCTTTAAGAGGCTAGTGGGGTGGGAGAGGAGAAAACACATTGGGTGCCTCTTCTAGCTCTGATGGCTGTCTGCATTCCTTAGCTTGTGGATACATCATTCCTTCATACAACATGCCTTCTCCTCTTCTGTGTCACACTTCTCTCTTCCTCACTCTTATAAGGACTCTTGTGGTTATATTTAGGAGCCACTTGGATAACCCAGGGTGATCTCCCCCCATATCAAGATCCCCAATTTAGTTACACCTGCAAAGTCCCTTTTGTCATAAAAGGTACCACTCACAGGTTCTAGATATTGGGGCTTGATATTCAGCCTACTACACCAAAGTTACTCAGCTACTAAGAAATCTTCATTTTAATGGTGTTCTAATATAAATGCTTCTTATTGGTTGGGATAAAGTCTGCATTTAAACTCTCTAAGCCTCAGTCTTCTTATCTGTATATGGGTTGCTATTGACCTTCATATAGGGATAGTGTAAGGATTACATTGGCTGATCTATAATATATTACATATCTGGTGCAGAGCCTGGAATATAGTGTGCACCCACGAATGGTCTTCCATGTGTTATAATGCAAGACTTTCTTTTGGCTTATCTCAGTGGTTACCATGTAGGACCAGGTATTTTTCTGTCTGATTGTCCTAAATGCATAAAATCAAACACAATTGGCTGTCAAGACATTTATAGGTGTCAACAGAAAGGTAATTGATGAAATATCATTATGTGACAAGATATACAAATCTAGAATAGAAGAATTACATTTAATGTTGGAACAACTTTTAAGTGTTTTATGAAGGTTTTGCAAAAACAGAAAACATCACTGAGATGCAATGGATTTGAAGATGGGGGAAAAGTATGGTCAGAATACCTTTTGTTTGTATTCCAGACCTGTTGTTTCTCTCTGAATGTTCTTGGGGAAGCCACTTCACCTCTCTCAGCCTCAGTGTCTTGAGGTTGAAAAAGAAGGAAACAACAAGGTCATGGTGGTGAGGATGTAAAAATTCTTCAAGTATATTCTATAATACAAACACTTCACTTCCTTTCTTGATAAGGAAGACAAAGAGAAGAAGCAACTGCATGTGTGTGTGTGTGTACAGATGGACTTTATTGCATTAAAAAAAATCAATGAACAGAACATTTGGTCCCTGCAGCGTTGTGTAGCTTTATTTGAACTCAGCTTTCTAGCCAAGTGAATCCTGCCAGCCCCCGGCGTGAGTATACATTTTATGGAAAAGTTCCACAGTAGTGAAGGCCAGATGTATGAGCGCATACAGAGCTCTTTTTCCAGGAGCAATTATCTGATGAAATTGTGCCGTGTCTGCAGCAGGCGAACCGGATTTATTCCACTGGAGGAGGGAGCACGTGCTGCGGTATTTATAAACTGTAAAGGATGTTTATCAGCAAGCACAGCACAAGCATCCATCCCCGTGTGCCAACAAGAATAGCCTCATTGTTTCTGCAGCGCCAATGATGGGTCCGTAAATTCTGTCAGCAAATCTGTGGCTGTGAGGGATTCTCTCTACCGATGATGATGGCTCTTGTCTGAGCAGTTCTAATCATGGCTGAATAGAGGCCTGTACAGCCTGGG